ATTACAAAATTGTATTAAAAAGTACTGCGTAGTAGGAAAGTATATTGTAAATGAAATTGTATCAAACAAGTACAATTGTACCAAAAAATGCCAACACTGTTGTGTATACATATTTTTTTTCTTTTTTACTTTTTTACTCTTATTTTATCTTTCAGCTTCGCTAAAAGCACTTATACCAACGCTTGGCTTACCAAATTTACGCCAATTGATAAAATTTGGCGATTTAAACTCATTTTAAATAATGTAAACAACAATTCGAGTTGAATCGAAAATCGCCTCGTCTGAATAGGGATGGCAACTTTTTCACTTTCAACTTCTCATTCAACTCCGCATTCAACTTTTGTTGCCTGAAAAATCGCCTCGTGCGAAAGGCCTATTAGGGCGGCGAGAATAAGGGCGATTAGTGATGTGCTGAATTGTCCCCAATACTCGGTACCCACTACTTAAAAAAGATTTCGGTACCCAATACTTCCTTTCGGTATCCGATACCGATTCATTACACTAAACCTTCGCCATTATATGCATTTCAGGTTTAGCAAAAACTTGCATTACTAATTTAGGTCGGTGTTATGCAGACAAACTTTTGTTTGCCAAATTAAATGGCGGCTGCTTAGTTTGCTCGGAGGTGGTTATGTCGAGTTTGGCACAGGGTTGCACGTTCATTATGGTTTTCATGGCTATTGCCAACACGAAATGAGAATTTCAGATGTACATAACGCGCAAAATTTAAAATTTTTGTATATGACAACACCGAATTTGCTGCAGTTTGACCAAACAAAATTAGTTTGCTGTGAGAGTCGCCAAACTCGCTCTCTCCGAGTTTGCTGCAACAACAATTGCACGCAGTTTGCCAAACAAAATTTCTGCATAACACCGACCTTATATGATATCGGCTAAAACACTTGAACTTATCGCAACAGGGAAATATTATTTTATCAGTTTTAACCTTAGTCGATCCAAGGTTCAAGAAAAATGAAATGAAATGAATGAATTAATGAAGAAAATGATCGGATGCAGAAGCTTTTCAGGGGGGAGACCTAACCAGTTAGCAACAAGTTTCGGATCGATATCGCACTTGTTGGCGTAAAAATATTTCATATCACACGTTATTACGTGGTTATAGAATCTGCCCCCAGGCCTCCAAAAAAGATATCGTCCGATTCAGCTGGAACCAAAATGCTTCAAACAAGTAAGGCACTCCGCACATTAAGCTCCTAATCATAGTAGTGTAATCGTTTCGGCATACTAAAGTATAAAGCTTTTATGCAGAACACATGTATGTATTTCAATGAAGCTCTGTACATTACTATTCAAAATCATGTTTTCCCCTAATCATAAAAGCTTCATGAATCGAAGCGCCCAATATTGTAAGGCGCTTGCTGTTTTGAAATCATCATTTGTTTACTTTTTTGTGTCGGAAATAAAATTTATTTGTCAATTCAATAGAAAATAATTAAAAATTAATGATTTCGTGCTAAAATTCGTGTAAATTGTGTTAAACCACAAACATTTATGCAATATTACCGAGTTTGGTACAAATTGGTAGAACGGTTACCGAGATACATATATGTGATCAAAAGTGGGCAGTGTCACGCCCATTTTCCAAAATTTAATCATAAACGTATTTCTTGGTAAAGAGTTGTTACAAGCATCAATTTTGAATAAATTAGCTTTAATATTTACTGATTTATCGAAGATTTCGTATTTATCTAAATTACCGTTATATGGTAAGTGGGCGTGGTTATTGTCCAATTTTAAAAATTTTCGGCCATGTGGTACGCAGTACCAAGGCCAACAACTGTCCCAAGTTTGGAAGAAATTGATGCAGCGGTTACTAAGAAATACACATGTAACCATAAGTGGAAGTGGCCCGATTTTCCAAAAATGTATTATATATATATCACTTTCTCAATTATATATATATCAATTTTGAGTGAATTATCTTCCGTAGTTGCTAAAATATCGCTGTTATATAGTTTTCAATAGCATGCGTCCTACGCCCGAAAGAAGTGCACGTACCAAGTTTCGTTAAGATATCTCAATTTTTACTCGAGTAATCGTGTGCACAGACGGACGGGCGGATGGACAGACAGTCACCGCTTAATCGATTTCTCTTTTCATTCTGATCATTTATGTATACATTTGTCTATATCTATCTCGATTCGCTTTGCCTGTTACAAGCAACCGTTATGTGAACAAATTTATAATACCCTTGTGCACAAATGAGCTCGGGTATAAAACGATATAGTCCATTTGATTTAAGAAATGGACGGGAAATCAAGTAGTGTAGGGACATTTTTAATAAAAAGACATATGCTTCTTATGATAAACACCAAATATTATGTTAGAGTGATGTTCGTTTCAGAATTCTGTCACTTGAAACAAGTACTGTGTATGTATTTTTAAATTTTTTATGTGGGTATTCAATCCAATGAATTTACTGGCTTAGTTTTCAAACCTGAAATTATATTAGCTGTCAAATCTTGTAAAACCGGATCACCCGAAGGGTATAGTATCAGTAATAAATATAAAAAACGACAACATCAGAACATCACCAATATAATTTTTTACGCCGACAAGTTAAGGACAAGCTGGGGCGGCTTGGCGCACAAGTATTAACCTTACCCCTGAGCAGCGTTGCCAGGTTGACGTTTTTAACGTCATTTGGACGTTTTTTGTATCCTGTTGACGTTTCGACGTTTTTTGTGTAAAAAATTGCATTTTTTAACTTCCCAGTAATATTTCTCTGTTACTAAATCTTGTAAGTAGAACTGATTTTGAATTATTCTCCTAATAAATCTTTACAAGCTTTGTTTTACAACAACAGATGCTTCAAAAAAATATATGATTTTTGGACACAGATGACTTAACCCTTGTTTAAGCGCATAAAGCAAATTACACAATTAGTCGCATGGGGCCCTTATTGCAAATTTAATGAACGTAAAAAGACTGAAATATTGCTAACATTTCTTAACAGAACGTAATTTAGCATTTTCGACAACATACCACTTAAACAACTATTTACAAGAAAAAAAAAATATTAAAAATCAACGCGATTCCTTAGCATCTTAAAACTTGCACATTATTGCCCTGAAATTTAATGGGCTATCAACCTGCATAATCTGAATAAAAAGTTGAATCAGATTTTTTATAATTTTAGCACATAGTTTGAAATGTGGATTTATATTTTGTTTGTTATATAATGAGCTAGGCTTTTATGGAAAAATAATAAACATTAAATAAACAAAAAAGAAAGAGCCAAAATCGATGACTTAATCAGCTGATCACAAGTGCATGTATAAAATGATTTTTATATTAACGATCTCAAACCAGTTTAGAATGAATTTTAAATGTGACAGAGCAAATGATGTTTTAATATCTATACCTTACGCACATATGTACCTTTGCATACAATAAAAGTTTAATAAGAACAATTCTTTGTGCATACATTTGAAAAAGACGTTTTTGGGTAGGAAATGACGTTTTTTCAGATAAAGAGGGACGTTTTCTCATGCCGAAGCCCTGGCAACACTGCCCCTGAGGTTGTGGCGTACTCCGTTCACCTGCCGACATATCTTTGATGGTCTTCACCTATTTCGCTACAATATGTATTTGAATTTATGTAAATGGATCAAAAAACCCTTATAACGGGTGATTTTTTTGAGGTTAGGATTTTCATGCATTAGTATTTGACAGATCACGTGGGATTTCAGACATGGTGTCAAAGAGAAAGATGCTCAGTATGCTTTGACATTTCATCATGAATAGACTTACTAACGAGCAACGCTTGCAAATCATTGAATTTTATTACCAAAATCAGTGTTCGGTTCGAAATGTGTTTCGCAAACCCAATTGCTGCGAACGGCGACGAATCGACATTTCACGGTCTTCAGCAACACTCTCAGAAACAGACGCAATATTCTCTTCTGTACGCACTGTACGCATTCGTGTGGTTGGTTTAATGTCCAATAAAGTAAACTGAGTGCGAAACTTGGTCACAATCGCATTAATTGTTTGCTCACTTGGTCGATTATGTAGACCATAAATCGGACGTAAAGCGAACCGAACACTGATTTTGGTAATAAAATTCAATGATTTGCAAGCGTTGCTCGTTAGTAAGTCTATTCATGATGAAATGTCAAAGCATACTGAGCATCTTTCTCTTTGACACCATGTCTGAAATCCCACGTGATCTGTCAAATACTAATGCATGAAAATCCTAACCTCAAAAAAATCACCCGTTATTTGATGTTCTGATTCTGTGGAAAGAATCTCATACATATTAGAATATTGTCGAGTGGCTAACCTTAAAGTGTAAAAGGATCGATTTCACTGCCGAAATTAAAACATACTGC